TTTTGATGTATCTTTTATATTTTTTTAAATTGGAGGAATAAGAGATTTTTGAAATTTTTAAAATAAGTTGGGATAAATGGTTATTAAGATAATTAAATCCAATAAGTAAACGAAGCCTAGATTTGATCCGGTGTAATCGAAACCATCCGAACTTTCTTACAAAAAACACGCAGACACCTCCTAGCAGTTTCTAGAACAAACTAAATCTCACCGCCCCATTCCAATTCTCCCACCGGACTTCTCTTTATATATCATTCTTCACAATCATTTCTCCACCAACGTATTCCAATCTCGCCGGCGTAGTTTTACTGTTTTGAGAATTTGTTATCTGCTTTTGGTTCAGGCATTTTCAGAAACAGTTTGCAAAATGGAAGAAGACGGTGCCGTTACAGTGTACAGTGGCAGCGCCATAACTGATACCAAGAAGAATTCGTTTTCGATCAAAGTTGGAATTGCTCAAATGCTTAGAGGAGGAGCGATTGCGGAAGTCACCACCGTCAACCAAGCGAAGATTGCCGAGTCGGCCGGAGTTTGTTGTCTTGTAGTTTCGGAGCCTAAAGGACCCGGAATCTCGCGTATGCCCGACCCGTCTCTAATCAAGGAAATCAAGCAGGCAGTTGCGCTTCCTGTAATGGCTAAAGCCCGTGTCGGTCATTTTGTTGAAGCCCAGATCCTTGAAGCTATTGGAGTTGATTATATAGATGAGAGCGAGATTTTAGCCCTCGCCGACGAAGATCATTTCGTCAACAAACACAATTTCAGGGCACCTTTTGTCTGTGGATGTCGAGATCTTGGAGAAGCGTTAAGGAGAGTCAGAGAAGGCGCTGCCATGGTTAGGACCCAAGGGGATCTAGCGGGTACGGGCAGTATTGTTGATACAGTCCACAATGTGAGGAAAGTGATGGGAGATATTAGAATTCTATCAAACATGGATGATGATGAGGTCTTCACTTTCTCTAAGAAGATCGGTGCCCCTTATGATATTGTTGCGCAGACGAAGCAGATGGGTAGGCTCCCTGTGGTTCATTTTGCTGCTGGTGGAATTGTCACGCCTGCAGATGCAGCGCTCATGATGCAGCTGGGTTGTGATGGTGTGTTTGTTGGTTCGGATATATTCAATTGCTCTGATCCTTACAAGAAAGTAAGGGCAATTGTGCAGGCTGTCAGGAACTATAACGATCCCCATATTTTGGCCGCGGCTAGCAGTGGTTTGGAGGAAGCAATGGGTGGTCTAAATCTGAACGAAAACAGGGTCGAGCGATTTGTTAGCGATGAGAACTACTGATGAGATCAAGATGAGTCTGTTTTTGTGTCTGTTGTTGATCATAGTATCATGTATTTTGCAGTTCAGCTTTTGTGAACATTATCTTTTCTTGATTTTGCTTTAGCAATAACTTGATGATGAGTTTAACATACCGTGTTTTACGCTTGTTTACATGCTTGTGGCACCAGAAGAAAATGGCAACATTGACTTGAAATGACTCTGGATATTACAATATTGTGAAGGCATGTTGATCACTTTGTTTTAGTTATTGTTTACATGTTTATAGTTGTGTGTTGTAACGAATATAGAGACGTCGGATGATCAAATCGGATCCGGTCAATTCTTGCATTTGGATGTATTGGCAAATAATTGCTACCATAATGGATGATCAGTATTTCAGAGCCATACTGTTAATGTTTTCTCTTTCAACAACATGATGATGCATATTAAAGAAAATCTTTAGTCCTGTATTATAATTGCATTTGATCATTTTCATTGTGGCTTGCAAAGGAACCTCAGGGCAGTTTCATATGCAGTGAATATAGTCCCATTCACTAGGAATGCTCTGCCAACTGTAGTTCCAACGCCTCGCCAAAGCACACCGTATCCCTCTGTTCTTACGCTTTGCCTGAAGCAATCAATAATACCATGGTATTTTGCAGATTTAGACTGTGATTGAGCTTGGAGTCTGGTCTTAACAACATCTAAGGGGTAGCAGCTTATCCAGCTAACAGACCCTGCAAGACCACCTGCTACGAGCATCGTTTGGAAGCTCTCTTGACCATACTTGCGACAGCCAGGATGAAGTTGCTCCTTAGTATAATCATATACCCAGAAATATAGTCCGTGAGAGTGTGCATCTCTGAGGACTGTAACGGTTAATCCTCGATAGATCCCTCTCAAACCTGCCTGACTGACAATTCTTCTTGTGACATCTCTTGGACCCTTGAGTCTAGTTACTTGATTGTTGCACTGATTGGTCTTGCTTTGCAACTGTAGTTGTATTTTCACCAGTTCTACAGGGCTGATGATCAGGCTCTGAATTGCTCCTGCTGCAATGCCACCCAAAGCCACTCCTTTGTATGAGGGTGGATCGGTTACTGGGACCTTTCTGTCAAATGTTCGCGATAGGGTTGCATAGATCTGAAATACCATGGCATTCTGCAATAGGGAGCAAACTAGTGTTTTGATATTGTAGGAAGGAACTTTGATTTGATACAATATTTGCCAGAATTAGAAATCTACTTTATTTTTGTCTTATGATTCCTTCAAATCAAGTGTATTGATCACAAAAAAAAAATAAAATCATATCCATATTCTATAACAGAAGTTGTGTAAATAGAGGAATACAACAATGACCTGAAAAGTGACGGATGCTAGAGGAGCCGCCATGCCCCTGTAGAGAGAGAGGGGACCTTCTTTGGCGACTACATGGCGGAAAACGTTGAAAGCAGAACCACTCTTGGAATTTTGCTGGCGAACTCTGATGCTGTCGAGAGGATAACCAGAAATGAGACCAGCTATTCCTCCAAATCCACCCGCTACAAACTCTTTGCCCCAACTACTTGCAAGAAACTCTGGCCAAAAATCCATGCCCCCTTCATCCCCCAACTCAAGAAAATGAAATGCCTTATATTTTCTCTTTCAAATCTGTTGTTTTTTCTTCTAGCACAGCAATCAACATGTTTTTGTTCTAAGAAACGACCTCTCCTTGAATATCTCTGTAACACAAAAATTGACCACTGCTTAGATATGTGTGATATAAAAAAAATGCATTGCACCTTTCTGTTTGGTAGTTAAAGAGCTGAGGCCTTGAATCTTGAAAATGTGCCACATTTCAACCTGATTTTCTTTTAGTGACTGCCACCAATGGCCTACTAAATGAAACGGCCAACCACCTCTTTTTTAGGAAATCCACTATTATACCACGTGTAACAATCAAGATCAACAGAGGTTGCAAATTGAACGTCCATTTTAATTTTTTTTTTTTTTTTTTTATCATTTGTTAATTTTGTATGTCATTTCTTAATGATCGGAAGTTGAAAATCAATCAGAAATTCTGCAATTGATAACCAGTTATATGAGTGACTGTAAAGTTGGGCTGAAAAAAACTTGAAAGAGACTTTCTTTTCTTTAACAAGAGGGAAGAGCCCAAGCTGATAGTTT